AAAAAAACCTTTAGAGTAACAGCCTTCAATCAAGGAAGACCGATAACTCTCAACAATTAATTTTTCAGCAAGCCTATCAAAAAAACAACATTTAGTACCTGTTTTTCCAATTTTGTCAGGCTCCTGAATCGTTTTGTGGCAAATTTTAGAAAGTCTTCCTCGTTCCCGTCAAACTCCTTTCGCAAATCTTCTTCAGAAGATTCCAACCATAATTCAAAGCCAGATTTTTTGTTTATTCTGGAAAGGAGTTAGTGGTAAAGAATCAGTAACAGCACGTTAGAACAAACGAAAAATTTATATAACAAAAGGATAACCTGGCATTGGATGAAGAAAAAGTAAGCAAAGACTGCCTTGAAGTAACCTGAAACAGGAAAAACTTCAAACTTCGTTTTTAACACTTTTACACACATTTTCCATCAAACAACTAGCCACGAACGCACTTACACACTCATTAAACCAAAAATTCACAAAAGTCTAATTTCCAATCGCTGTTCTGAACGAGTAACACCACGATAAAGAGTGAATGCAGTACCAATTCTCGACTTGTTGCAAAGTCACGAATTAGTTCGTCAACACAAAAAAACCTTCAGAGGGATAAAATAATTCTTTAAAACACTAAAGAACATACCTGTAACTGTTTCGATCTTTTTAAAGAACTATGATCGGAAGACGAAAATCGTTGCTCTGGAGTAGCAAGAGCATCAAATAAATTCTCAGTGCTGTCTGGAGAATCAGCATTAACTGACTTCCTCTAAATCTACAGTTGATAGAAGTAACGCTTTATTATAAAATTTGATTCTATTATACAACTGTTTCACCTTGAAAGGGTTAGGAGGCTTGATTTTTTCCAAAGGTGTTTGAAAAGAAGTTTCGCTAGCCAAATTGAGGTTGAACGATGATGACGATTCAGGAGTAGCGGCCACACAATAGCGTCCTTCTGGAGCGTTTTCGTCATTCTTTTCGAACGACTGCGGCAAATCTGATTTTCTACATGCTTCATCTACACTTTTAGGCTCGTTCCTTTTGACCAACAAAAACAAAAAAGGATGAGAATTTATTTAAACAGTTCATACAGTCAGTCAGTACTATATTCGTCAATTTAGTGTTTTTAATAAAACATATGACGATAGAAGTTAGTTAAAAATCCAAATAATACATAATTTAAACACCACTCTGCTCCTAAAAAAATATTTAGTGGCTTTTATTTTCAAAAAAATGACAGCATTTAGAGTAAGTCGAAAACCAGCAAGTTGAGTTTTGTAAAGAATATTAAATCTTGTCAAACAAAGTACCTTCACATTTCTTCTTAAGCTGGGCTTCAGCACAGACGACTCGTATCCGCTCTCAGAGTCTTGAGCATCATTACTCCAGTTTCTGCCAATTTCAGCGACCTACAGAAGAGTTCACGGAAAGAAACATCCAACAAAAGTTATAAGAGTTCAGAAAGCTGCAACAGTTGAATCAACACCTTACCTTTTCTGACAATAGAGTGTGACGCGTCTTAGCAGCGAAATTACAGAGAGACTGCAAGACATGTTCCGAGGGAGCTAACCAAGCAAATTCTGACGCCCGGCATTCACGATCTGCCTTACATGACAATGCAAAGAGACGAATAACGTCCTTTGCGTGTCTCGCAGCGAGATCCTGAAACAACTAAAATTGGAAAGGCCAGGACGAAAAGAAGAACCGACCTGGAAAATATCTACAAACAATGGGCAGAAAAAATGATTTTACTCAACTGCAGCCATATCAGATTTTAAACTGTCATTTTCATATATGCTCCTCAAAATTTCTGTAATGATAAGGCTATCCTCGAGCTTCGACTTTTCGCTTTCCTGTATCAAATAATAACACATGAGTTCCACTCACTATATACGAGAGGTTTTAAAGTCATAAATATATACTTCTTTAATTATATACATTTCTAAAAGAAAGTAACTAAATCATGAACATCTTTTAACACACTGGATTGCACAGCGGTATTTGCCATTTCACCATCAGCGGGACAGGACGACTCGGAACCAAGGGATATGTGGTCCCCTTGCAGTGTATGTAACGAATTTCCGGGTCTGGCCGTTCCACAATGCCAATGGGCCAGATACCGTCAGACTTTGACTTAACTACTCCAGAAAAATCATATATGGGCATCCACATTTTATTCCGTGTTAGCAGTCGCAAACAATCCAAAAGATAAATTATGTTAGGAATAATCAGTAGCCAAAAAAATGACAAAGCAATGACTTTAAAACTTACAGTTAGAATCCAAAGAGCACAGAACACCAGCCTTCGTAAACCCCAACCAAACTAAACTGGCTGCACGCCCGAGAGGTAAATGAAAGGTCTCCTCCAACGAATCTTTTTTAAACCAACTGCGATTATTAATTTCGTATACATGAACTATCACCTAAAAGCGCAAGGCTAGTTGCCTAAGACATAATAATTACGTCTACTGGAATTAATGATTAAAAAATTGTTTTCAAAGTTGAAAGAAACTATTAGAATACAAAAAGAAAATTAGGATCATCACTTCATACTGAGCCGAATCAGACTCATTTTCATAAAAATATCCACCGCTATACACTGCTATAGCTAATTCATCGCTGCTCGCACAAGCAGTGGCCAAAACACCTAAATATCTAAACTTTATACACCCACAACATGTTCGTCAAGTTCGCAGATACAAATTATACCCGGAAACGACACAACCATTCTTTGTGTCCCGGCAAACGAGAAAATACGGAAACAATGATACGAAGTGATAACTGCAACAAAACCACTTCCAATCAAAACATCCTCTATTAATTCCCCAGCTGTCATTGTAACTTTCCATTCTCGAGATGAGTGACTCCAAGCAGAGATGTAAATAACGTAGAGTTCGCTGAAATATACTTCTAACGCGGATTCTCGAAACCAACTCTGTTTCACCGTATTTTCAATAAAAAAGAACTACGCCCAGTCAGCAGTTATGAACTTTAAAAACGATTTCAGAAGAATTATTGGAAGATTTGCACTTGTACCTCAACAAAAGAATAAGTCAGGATTATATTATGTGGAAAAGTATTTTTTAATAAAAACGGTAACAGTGATAAAACACAGTAGGAAGATAGAAACACACAGAAAGTCAACGTAAACCACCCAAGAACAAAAATATATACAAAAGTACTACTCCTAACATCCAGAATTTAATGATGAGTTTCCTAGGAGAATTTATTCATACAGTAGGCGATGTTTGTAGCTGAGAATAACGTAATCATTACCTCTGTTCTCCGTCCTCTCCTTTTGAAGCAAGCGCAACGACCTCGTTGGATAGGTCTCCCATTGTGTAATTGCTTGAGGCATTGTCAATATTCATTACAGGATGTACAGAAACGTCATGCCAAGTTATCTAAAATACTCTCAGAACTAGTCGATTCAACGCTAGTGAAACGACCATCGCAACTAAAAGTTTGCAGTAATACCTTACACTGCGGGAAAGATCTTATATATATATATATATATATATATATATATATAT